TCACTTCTAGGGTTTCTCCTGGTCCAGAAAAAATCACTGTAAAGTTTCATCATGTTTGGACTTGTTTGGTATGGTTTTTCAGTAAAACAAAGAAATACGCAAAAAATTAGGAACTAGCACTAGGCACAAAGTTAATAGACCAGTCCATGAAAATAATATAAAATGACATATAAAGTATACAAGAATGATAATATAATAGCATGAAACAACAAAAATTATAGATGCGTCGGAGACGTATCATCGCTCTGTCCTCCACATCAATGACCCGATGACGCCACCAGATACGCTCGTCTGCGTCTCCTCTCCCCCCCCCCACAACAACAATGTCCAAATTGGAAGTCGCGTCAAGGAAGAGCACCCCTCGCCGCCGCCCCTACGCGTCAAGGAGGAGCGTCTCCCGCCGCCGGCTTGACGCGTGAAGGAGGAGCGACGCTCTCTGCCACCTCGACGCGTGAAGGAGGAGCGACGCTCTCTTACGCCCCACCGCGTCAAGGAAAAACGGCGCTCGTCGACGCCCCGCCAAACTCATGGCGGCCTGCCGCATGCGATCGTCGCGAAGGCGCGCAGTCGCATTCGCCACTACCCCGGCGGCAGCAGCTCGTCCTCCCGGAGCGCCCCAACAACAGATGAGTACGCCGACGGGATATGCACAATGCGGTGCGACTCCGTCGTCCCGTCTCCACACATCACGACAGACCCAGAGCTGGCCACGACCTGGGCCCTAGACGGCTCCAAGATGACGGTGGAGACGAGCAAGCGCCGTCTGCGCCGCCTCGATGAGGGGGTGACCAAGCACGGCTAGGACTGGTCTCTCCGCGAGTCCGTTGCCATCGCCGCCTCGTCCAAGGCCCGTCGCCCTCCCCCGCCAACGTCGTCGGTGGTCGTGGTTGCCGCAAGAGCAAGCCAAGAGGATCGACGACTTCGACAATGACTACAATGATGATGACATAGGAGCCGCCTGGCCAGCCCGGCAGGGCCTATGAGGTCCTAATCTAAATTAAATGAATATCATCTAGTTTGTTTGAGTTTGAATCAAATTTGATCAATTTCGTTTGAAATGCAATCGGACTATGCAACTAGCTTTGAATGGCTGACTCTCGCATCCATGTCCGCGGAGATCTTTCTGTTTGTGGACGAATTGCCTGTCGGTTTGCAGGTCAGCCTTGGAGATGCCCTTAGAGCAACTCCAATGTGCCGACTCAAATGGACAATGCTCTTGTCCGCTTTTTGTCCGTTTGGATCGGCCGCCCGTCCGGTGTCCGGTTGGTTTGAGATTTGGGTCGGCAGTGTGCCCAACGCGCTGACCCATATGTGCTGGCTGACCGCCCTTTTTCATCATATAACACAAAACTTGCATTATTTCACACACAACTTTTGCATTATTTCACAAGCAAACATATAGCCCACAACCAAATAAATAACATAATTTCAACCAAATAAATAACATAGTTTTACAAGCCGAATAAAAGTAAAAATGTCTCACATAGTTTTGCAAGCCGAATAAAAAAGATACATCATACGAACACGATGGTGAAATTTCTGATGTTTGAACAACGAATTTGATGTGTCAAAGTAGTCCTTCCAAAGAAGGAAATGCCCGCTCTCTCGGTTGCGATTCAACGCCGGAAGGTGGCCCGTTAATGGAGCCACGGAACGCCAGACGCTGGCTATAGTGGTGGTGATGGAACAACATGGCAACCAATATCTCCTTGTCATCGGACGACGAGTCGTGAGAGTCGTAAAGGAAATTGTGAAAAAAGAACTCGTCAGCGGAGTCCATTTTGTACCTCGGCAAACTATCGAATAACTTGCGGGTGTCGACGAAGGTGCTGGCCGGCAAAGGGAGTCGCGGCGCACACGGACCAGCTAGCTGTCCTGCAGACGTCCGACGAGCGTGCCAGTGAGGATCTGGCTGGTGCGGCAAGGCAGTTTCTTGGTCGCGGTCGTGGCTGTGTCAGGGGAGCGGGGGTAGGAAGCTTTCGGTTCCCCGGCGGCAAGATGGCGGTGGCGGGTGACGTGAGAGGTGGTGGCATTGCAGAGGGGATGTTGCGGCGCCGGCAGCTGGCAGAGTCACCAAAAAAATGGGCGGCGACATCGACGGCAAAGGAGACGGGCGAGGGTTTGCTGTTGGAATGGGAAAGGATGGCCAATGTGTCACCGACCAGCGGGCCAGAGGGAAGGAGTAGGCGGGCGCGCGCATTCATCTTGTGTCCAGACCTACGCAATTCCGGCTTAAAAATGGATAGAGAATGGGTCAACACGCGGACGCGTGTTCATTTAGGTCGGCGCGAAACACGCCGATTCAAACCGACGCGTGCGGACGAAATGGGTTGCCCATCGTTGGAGTTGCTCTTAGCATCGTTCAACCAGGTCCCGATCTAGCAGTCACTCACATGTGGTCCTTTCGAACCGGAGACACACTTGCGGGCCCAACGACCGGATTCACAGCCTTCAGAGCATTACTAGTAGAACCCTCAAACCCTCAGTTTTAAGGGTTGAGAAGTGCCATTTTTTTGACACTTTTAAAGGTTGAAAAACAGGGGCAAATACTAGAACCCTCAAACCCAACCCTTAAACTGCTTTAAGCATTAGATTTGAGGGTTCTAGCCTTTGCCTCGACCCCAACCTTTAAATCTATCATTTGAAATCTCACAATTTATGACAACAAGAACACAATCAACTTCCAAACAAACTACCAAATGACAATCATTGATGCATGGTTTAATAGTTTACATTACAAAATCATCATCTTCCTCCTCTCATCGGCACCATCACCAAAAAGTTGCACCTCGGCGCCATCTCCTAGACCACAAGCGGGCTCCATCAAGCATCTCCATCGGCACCAGTGGAGTCGTACACACCGCCATCACCACAACTACTCATCGGAGTGTCACCTCAAAAAGTAGAGGACGCAACACGGAACATCCTCTTCCTTTCCGCGATGTCCTCCTTGTAGTCCTTCCACCATTGCAATTGGTCTTCATCCATGTCCTTCTTGGACATCATCATGTGCTCTTTCTCTTCCACCATGAGTTCTTTCCATACCTTTGCCTCTTTGAGCTTGATCATCCTCTCCTCCAACTCGGCCTTGCGCTTTGCTTCTTCACGCTTTGCTTCAACTTGTGCAAGCTTGACCTCTTTCTTCTTCTCGGTGATAAGAAGCTTCGTTTCCAATGTCTTCATTGTCAATTCCTCTCTTGCCTTCATCATGTGGTCCATCTTCTCCCTTAGGCTTGACGCCTCTTCTTCCATCTTCACCCTTAGCTTGCCCTTCTTGGTTCCCCCGGGCTTGCCCAAGTTCCTCTCCTCCTCATCTTCACTATCATCCATCCTTAGCGTTGCCGACTTCTTGGGTGCGGTCTCTTGATCCCTCAACTTCCACTTATCAAAGGTTTGAAGAATTGACCAAACATGCTTAAATGAGAATGGCTCGCCCTTGGAAGCGGCCATCTCCTTGTACCTCATGCCGGCAATTGTCTCCTATCAACCACACATAAAACACATAAGAACCCACCAATAGCATAGTGCACACACATAATCAAAATAGTGAAGAAATATGTACTCACATAGTCACTCTCCACGGTTCCACTAGGTGGTGCATCTATCACTTGGTCCATGGCTGCACTCCAACGAGAACAAGCGGGCTTGATCAACTCCCACCGGCCTTGAAGCGACCGAAAAGTGCGATGGATGAACCCACTATTCTTCGGCTTGATCCTACAATAGACATCCTCGATCCTTTGCCAATATCGTTTACCGGCTTGATCGGTGCCGGTGGTTGCATCCATTCCCACAGCTGCCCAAGCACGAATCAAGAGGACATCTTCCGCCTCGGTGTAGTTTGTCGACCACACGTGTGGGCGGGAAGCGGCGGTGAATGCCTCCTCCCCTATCTCGGCCACCTCCTCCTCGTCATCCCCTTCATCCTCCTCATCTTCCTCCTTTTCCTCCAAGTCGCCACCAACCCTAAAGGGGTCTAGAGGCAGAGCCCCGAGGTCCACCTCCGCGTTTTGGAGGAGGTCCATGAACGAGGATGGGGTTGCCATTTCCTCGAACACCTCGTTGCACGGCGGGAGGAGGTTCGGCGACGGCGGCCGCCGCGGGCTTCTTCCGCGGCTTGGTCACGGCCGGGGACGAGCCGGCGACCTTGGAGGCCGCCCCTCGCGGCCCATGAGAGGCCGCCTTCGGCCGACTCTTCTTGGTGGCCGGGGCGGGCGGCGGGGAGGCAGCGAGGGCGGTGACGGTGGTCGGGGCGGCAGGAGGAGGTGCGAGGCCCGCCCGCCGCCGCTTGGCCCCGAC